AGTTTTATTTATAATTCATTTTCTTATAACTAAATTAATCCTATTTCTTAAAGCTAATTCCTATCATCTAAAACTGGCAAGTATATTTACTTAACCTACTAGGTTGGTATGTCTCTTAAGTCTAAAGCAAGTGTGTTAATCGCAAGAGGGTAAGGTAAGTATAGGTAACTAGAACTGAGGTAAATACATGAAGTAAGTGTTTACACTAAAGTTAAATCTAATTAAGTCAACTTAGTTAAGGCTAGCTAGGTACATATATCTAGTATTTTCACAAAAAATGTATATCAAGTAATAGTGGGTAAAAAGTTCAAGTAGGTAATATCAGGTAAGTAGTGGCAAAAATGTTGGATTAGGTAGGAAAATCAGGTAGGTACGTCTGGTACGTAGTTCAGGTAAGTGAATTAAATAGGAAACTCAGGTGAGTAAGTCAAGGTAAGTAATTCAGGTAAGTAGGTCAAGTTAGCCTAAGGTACTTATAGTTAAGTCTTAGTTATAGTTCTCCTAAATTTAAGTTAATTTACGGGGTTTCTACATTCATTTTTGTTGGTTTTGGGTTCACGTAATTTAATTAATTCCCTTTAGTCTTTCTTTTCTATTTATTCCTCTTTCCTGCTTGGTTTATTATTATTATTAGTATTATTAATTATTAATATTAAGTTTTTGTTATATAGTGGCCTTTTTTTTATGTTAATTTACATTTTCTTTAAGTTTCAGTTAATTAAATATTTTAGTCCCGGGTTAGCTTTGTTTTCGGTTTTCATCTAATTCAATTTAATTTCATTCATTTATTAGTATTTTATTTAAGTAACATTTTTTTTGTTTAATGTGTTTATTTTATTTTATGAATATATATAGTCCGTTCTAGTTTATTTAAAATTTGCATTTACATATTAACTTAGTTGTTTTTTTTTTCCTTACTAACTTCAGCCCTAATGTCAGTTACCCGCTTCTCATTAATTCCACTTTTTAACAATTCAATTTATTTTATCACCTTATTACTATAAGGGTCTTAATCAGATGATTAACCATGTTCTAAGTTTTAGTAAAATATATATAGATGTATATATATATATATTTTTTTTCGTGCTAATTTTAGTAATAATGATAAGTCCTTTTGTTTTTGTTTTTCTAACACTTACTATCTTATACTATTTTCAGGTTGCTATCGCTTTACTAAATACTTAAGTCGTCAAGATTTATACTTGGTTATACGTTTTCTTTTTTTTCCATTATTTAGTTTTCTGTTGTTGTACTAATTTACTTTTTGTTGTTTGATTTTTGGTATTTTTCTAGGGTTTAGAACTCACCACTTGCTTCGCGCAATCGTTGTAGTTGACCGCCTTGTTGTTGTGGTTAGGCGGTGTGGTCGCCTTTAATTTCGCCGCCTTGTTGTTGTTGTTAGCCGGTCGCTGCCGTTGTGGCCAACTTGTTGTTGTTGTTGCGCGCTATGGTAGCCGCGCTGGTTGTTGTTGCACGTTGCTGTTACGCGCTGTTGAAGGTGTTGCGCGCTATGGTAGCTGC